TGTACTTGAGTAAAAAATTTATGCATTTTCATGTGGACTTATCCTTTTAAAGCCAAGTATTGATGTATCATTTCTCAAGTATGTTGTAACACCTCTTGGAGATTGGTGGTCCCTAGCAACAAATTTATAGAGATATCCCGATAGAATTCACCTATTTGTCTTTTGGTTTAATTTCTTTTAATGCGATCGATAAATTTAGTCTGCAATATACATCTGTTTCTAATATCTCTCTCTGCTCTTTTTTGTTTGAAACGATCCGCGCATCGCGTGGGTAAGTATACTAGTTAAATAAGAAAGAAAAAGGCGCTGGATTTTTTTCCTAGGATTTTGAATAGGAAAGAGAAATATGATTTATGAATGGTAGATAAAGATAAATAAGATACTTAATAGGAATCTAAACGTACGGTACCCCTAATTATGGGGAAGAGTTAAGAAATTAACTGTTACAATCTGCTATATTTGTTATAAAATGTGCTATTATTATAATAAACCAAAAATTGTGATATTAATTTAAATATGTTATGAAATACTTAATTATGGTGGATGTCCATAACTCCTAAAGGAGTAACACCCACTAATCTTCTCCGTTAACCTCCCACTACTTCTTACCATTATGGATGTAACTCCCACACCTCCATGATCTTCCCCCATGTTCTCAATAGTTAATACCATGTTTATGGAGTCCCTTTGTATTACTTATATCATCCTATAAATAGAGGGTTTGGGCATCACATTGTACACACTTGGAATACATAGAAGAAATAAGAAAGTTTCATCTTCCTCTCTACTTCTTTGTCTATTTTATTGTTTCTATACTATTACTTTGAGCTTAGTTTCTTAACACGTTATCAGCACGAACGCCTCATTCTTCGTTAGGTTGTGGTAGGTTTTTCTTAACTTTTACGGCTTGCCTACTCATACCCTTTTGGTTGTCAGGTAACTATTTGTTTATCTCTTTTCACATACAATGGTAAGAGTCTTTATGCTATTTTTGTTTACTAATCCACAAATTTTTAATTTTATGATTATGCTTAAAAACTAACATGCAAACTGTGTATTAGATTGAAACTTGCGTAACAATGAAAATCACAAAATGATGTTGCCGACGGAATTTAGATCATCCCTACAAGAACTGCCACATTGCACAAAAATTACACTAAATGCTCTCCTATGTCGGAAACGAACAGTACAACTTACCATATCGTCATTGTCTGCATAGAGTTAATATTAATAGATATAATGCATAATTTGTTTATGTTTTTTTTGTGTCTACAATATTAAAAGCTATGTTTAGTTCTCCCATTTATCGATGCAGATACTATGGTTTTATTTATCACTAGATGAGTTTACGCTTATATCCATTGGAAGTGATGATACTTTTAAGTCTTATGATGATTAAATACGATGATGCAAGGGTAAGAAAGATGGGTTCAAGCCCACCGTACCATGCGGGTAAGACATTGTTTCTTGTCTTGATGTACCATTATAAGAGTTGGGTTTGAGTCCTAACACATGCTTTTATGTGTACGACATTGAATTTGAGTTCCAGTGCACCATATTGATGATATAATGATGACTAAAGAGAAATAATGTATTTTTCATGAAAAAGCATGAAGTTTGTCCCACTTGATTTGCTCCATTCTTGAAGTGAATGTGATAGCGGTGCATAATAAGTCTAAATGAAGACAAGTGGTTGACCAATGAATGTGGACGTGCCAAAGATCAAAATAATAATAGTCATCATTATGGTATTTGTGAAAAGGAGAACAATAAGGGTTCTCAAAATAATCCTTCAAAGGTGAAGGAATTGTGTATCAATATGGTTTGTAAATATGAGGCACGCTCTGACGATTATAGTCCATTTTTTTTTTTAAAGAATGCGACTTGTGATAAGCATTGGTAATGCAGACTCATTCCTGAAGTGAATGTGAAATATATATGTGATACAAATTATGCACAAGAATATGTGTATGCATGGTTGAATAAATACTACAACTCACCTCTACGGGAGGTTTGAGAGAAAGAAAGATCATAAACACTACTATGTGGTTACACGAATACGTCATTTGTCGTGTATATATGGTGCGCCGAAAATATTTTGACATGCCTTATAAAAAGTCATTAAAGGCAAAAGTAAAGCAAGAAATAAGTCTTGTCTATAATGTTTTTGATTGTGACAGTGATAAGATAATTTTTTCTGTGGAGAAAAAGTTCANCGTGAAGGAGACATTCACCATATGGATGGTGTGACAAAAGATCTTGTAGTACAAAATCAATTACGAGCTCCGGAAGAGCTAATTTGTTACTACCCGGATGAATAAAATTGTTCATGACATTGATATTGTAGTAAGTCTCAAAAGAAACTTTTTGAGTTTCAAATGTATTAGCCAAAGTGGTTAGCATATTGAGACTATAAATGAAAGGAAGATTGATTATCTTGATATTACTATAACATACCGAGTAAATATGAAAGGTTACCCGATTTTTCTTCTATTTGTACTACAGATGTATAAGCATGATATGAAATCACATGCCATAGTAAATTAAATGTTTACTGAAATAAATATCAGTTGGCATGACCGGTTGGCCATCCCGGTTTATTGATGCGAAAATTAATTGAGAATTCACATTGGCATATATTGAAGAAATAGAAGATTCTTCAAGAATTCTCTTGTGCTGCTTATTCTCATGATATACCAGTTAAGGTTGGGACTGAATCCCTTGATTTCTGGAACGAATAGAAGGTAATATATATATGAGCCCAGTCACCTGCCATATGGATCGTTTACTATTATATGATTTTAATAGATGCATCTATTGTATGGTCACATGTGCGTTTGTTATCAACTTGCACTTTGATTTTTGCAAGGTTGTTTGCTCAAGTTATTAGAGCATAGTTCCAGAATATAAATTATGATAATTTATTTTGATAATGCTGGTTTAAATCAAAGTTGGTTTAGCAGAAATTGTATGCCTCCAATTAAGCTAAACCATTGGTTATGAGAATAAAACTCCCAAATCGAAATTTGGTATGAGGTATATTATTTAATATACAACATCACTTGTACACATCTAGCCAACAAGTTATGATAAATTCTCCCTATGACAATTGGTTCAGGGTCAGGAACCAAATAATTTCTATTTAGAAATGTGGATGTGCGATATGATATAATTATCCCACCACAATGCACAAAGATTGGACCCCAAAGAAGGTTGGAGATATGTGTTGTTGATCCCGACATTAGGGGGAGAAAATGGGCAACTGAAAAAGTGATACGTGAAATGAATTATTATGAATACATCTAGATCCTCGTACAAGAAAATGTGAATTTGAAGTTCAAGTGATAATTCATTTCTAAAATATTTCCAAGCACATTGCTGACCCAAAGTTAAATGTCATATTCCAGCTACTAATGCTCCAAATAGAATAAAGTCCATGATGGATATAGTCTATGGAACTCTTGAAGCGTAATAGACTAATCGGTTCCAAAGATAAAACTCCTTGAAGAAGGAGAGAAGCAAATATTCAAGATGGTCATAATAAGGAGGCAAGTGCTATATAAGAGCACCATGACATAACATTTTATAAGACCTCATAGGAGAGGCTCGGGTACCTGAAAATAATGAGATCTCGATAAGTTATGTCTTTATTGACTGATGATGGAACCGATGTAAAATGATCGTCGACGATGTTGTTAATATAACGTAGCGCTCAATATTATTAATATTGACGAGGATGTTGAGCTCAAATCTGTCATGGAATTTGGACAGATAAATGATTGGCCAAATGAAAAATATGCAATAAAAATTGACTTCATCTGAAAAATATGAAGTTTGGACGAATAGTCCCAACAGCTGAGAGTATAAAGGCTATATGGAGATATTGAAATATGATTAGTATTATATTGCAAAAGAAATCCTTGATATAGATTTGTTTATTCTAACAAATATTGTCAAGGTTTTGTTGTTTATGCAAATGCTGGCATTTACTGAAGTCCGTTCTTCAAACAATCTATTTGTATGTGAGGAATTGTCATATTATCATTTCACAAGATGTGTGACTTTTCTTTGAAGAGAAGATTCCAATAATAATGAAGAAGCTGATGTTTGTTTATCTCAATTGAAAGAAGAATATTGAAGGAGACTGAATAAATCATATATTTCATCAGAGTTCCTTGTCAGACACGATCTTCAACAGAATGATGAAATAGATGTTCAAGAAATTCGTTCAAGTGATAATTTGGCGGAATAATTCACCGAGGCATTGCCGATATCAATATTAGAGAAGTTGTTAGACAAGCTTGGAATTCGTCGGATATTTTCATCAGGGGGAGGCAAATATGTGCTGTACTCTTTTTTCCTTAGCTAAGATTTTATCCCACTGGATTTTCCTGGCAAGGTTTTTAACGAGGCAACAAATAAAGCGTATTACAGATATGTGTACTCTTTTTCCTTCACTAGGATTTTTTCCCATAGGGTTTTTTCCTAGTAAGGTTTTAACGAGGCACATTATCTTTGGACATCCAAGGGGGAGTGTTATGAAATACTTAATTATGGTGGATGTCCATAACTCCTAAGGGAGTAACACCCACTACTCTTCTCCATTAACCTCCCACTACTTCTTACCATTATGGATGTAACTCCCACACCTCCATGATCTTCCCCCATGTTCTCAATAGTTAATACCATGTTTATGGAGTCCCTTTGTATTACCTATATCATCCTATAAATAGAGGGTTTGGGCATCACATTGTACACACTTGGAATACATAGAAGAAATAAGAAAGTTCCATCTTCCCCTCTACTTCTTTTGTCTATTTTATTATTTTTATATTATTACTTTGAGCTTAGTTTCTTAACAAAATACTATTTTATAAGAGACCAACAATGTAAAAAAAGTCTAATTAATTTAAAAGCACAGCCAAACAGACTACTTTTGGTATGGGTGGGAGGTTTTGGCACGGGCCCATAGACCGGCAAAGACATCGAAGAAACCCTAGTAATATCCCAATGTCGCCAAACCAAGTGCCTCGTGGAGGGAGAAACGTAATTCCAGTCGAAAGAAAAATCTCCCTCTCCGTAGTCCGTCCCGTCGGCCAAATGCTAAAAAAACATTGGTCCCATTCCCAGTCTCAACAAACACGTCTATCCTCTTTTGTCTTGTTTTTCTCCGAATGAGATACATATGCTTGAATTCAGGAATAGTATGCCAAATGCGGCGCAAGTCACAGCTCGAACAATCCCCACCTGCTAATATTTAAGCGTTTCCCGTTTGGAGTTGACAGAAATATGGCTGTGGAATCCCAATCGCAGAAGAAGAGTTACTGTCTCGTCGGAGATGTATATCGTGGTGTCATGACTGTACCCAAGGAGTTGGACCTTTCTCCTACCAAGGATCTCATGCACCACCAAATTAACCTTCAACTCAAGTTCCCTGACGTTGGTCGAGCCTTTACCGTAAGTTCATTTTCATTCTGATTGGACCATTCAGGCCTCTAATGTTACTTTACGTTTCGTTCGTGAACCTTAGCTTAACTATGTAGTTGGCGGAAATGCATTCATTTCTGCAGAATTTTACCAGGACTAGAGAAGTCGGTGAATTTCTCAGTGGTGCTTTGGCTGGGGCGATGACCAAGGCCGTTCTAGCTCCTCTTGAAACCATCAGGTTGTAAGATTTACCATCAAGTTTAAAACTGATGGTTACTAATTGATTTCCATTTATGAGGAGTTATATCTATTCCATCCTCTGGATTATGTAATTTCCATAGTGAATTTTGGTAAGATAACTTAATTAAGATATAAAAACTCCTCTTTTAGGATATGAACTTTTGACTTGGATGAATTTTTATTTCCTTTCAGCTGGCTCTTACAATTCAGTAGGTTATGTTATCTCATCTTGTTATTTAAAACATGCAGGACAAGAATGGTAGTCGGTGTTGGGTCCAAAAACATCGGTACAAGTTTTATTCAGGTTATTGAGCAGCAGGGTTGGAAAGGGCTGTGGGCTGGTAACACAATTAACATGTTACGGATAATTCCTACACAGGCAATTGAACTTGCTACATTTGAGTGTGTCAAGCGAGCAATGAATTCGGCACAAGAGAAATGGATCAATACTGGCAACCCCAAGCTACAGATTGGTAATGCTAGCATGAGCTTTTCTCTCTCATGGCTGTCGCCAGTTGCTGTTGCTGGTGCTGCTGCTGGAGTTGCAGGCACACTTGCATGTCATCCGCTTGAAGTGCTGAAGGTATTGACTAGAGATTTTTTCAGTGTGGAAAAATAGCTTTGCTTTTCAGAGTGTTAATGATGATCTTCATAGTTGTATAATTAAGTTATTGTGCTTATTATGACTTATGAGCTTGTGGAAAGAAAAAATGATCTGAAATTTTGGTGCTGATCTTCACAGGATCGGCTGACTGTGAATCCTGAGGTCTACCCCAGTCTACGCATTGCAGTTCACAAAATTTACAAGGAGGGTGGAATTGGAGGCTTGTATGCTGGACTTGGGCCAACAATAATTGGCATGCTCCCGTATAGCACTTGTTACTATTTCATGTACGAGACAATAAAGAAATCATATTGCCAAGCACAGAAGAAAAAAGCTCTAAGCCGTGCAGAGATGCTTCTTATTGGAGCTTTCTCGGGTAAGAATCTCGAATCAAACACGGTAGCTCTCTTTGGTTCAGATTTGCTTGAACTTAATAGTCATCTGCCATTTTGTGATAAAAAAGGACTGAGCTGAAACTTCTAATTGTCAACTCTAGGGACATTTAGATCATTGCTTAAAAAACACCTTTACTCCTAGCCTAAGTCCTTGTTTCCCGGAAGATTTGTGTATCACGATCAACTTAAAATCTGGAAGTGCTGACTTGGAAACTATAGGTGCTTGTTGAACTGTTCCAGTGGCAGTTCAAGATTGTAGTAGAGTTGGTCCATTGGACTTAGGATGGATTACAACTCAAAACCAGATAACCATTATGGGAAATGTTAACAAAGCGGCCAAAAAAATTAATTTGCTGATGCAGCCAATTCCTGCTATCTAAGGTCCAAAAAGTATGCAGGTGCTGTGATGCTTGAGTTGATAATTCTTTATCATAATTACTGGATTTTGCGTTTTAAGGCCCTTCTTATGTATCACGCTGGTTGGGTATAAAAGAACAACACCAGAACAAAGATGTAATGTTTTTGTAGTATACTGGAAGAAAAAGGGGAAAGACTGAAACAAGCTTGTGATGCTTTTCTCCTTTTGCGCACGAGATCAAAAGAGCAATACCAGGACAAAGATGTAACATTGCTGCAGAGAGGATAAAGGACATTCATTGTACAGATTCCGACCAAAGGAGGAGCATCATACATTTAAGTATTTTTTTGACAAATCATTCTGCTGGGGAGTGTCTATAAGATTATAATAGACGCGCTAGCGAGGTGACTAAGAAGGGATATGGTTTAACTTGCACGCGAAATGCTTTTGCTGGTAGAAGACAAATATGAGACGCAAGTGTAATTGCAAAGGAGAAAGGACGTTCGTTATACAGATTCTGAAGGCGGAGCATCGTACATTTAAGTATTATCTTAACCAATCATTCTGGTGGTGAGTGTCTATGAGATTAGCAAGGAGACTAAGAAGGATTATGGTTGAACTTACGTGCAAAATGGTTTTGCTGTTGTAAGACAAATTCGACTCAAGTGTAATTGTGAATGAGCAATTGGTTGTGGTGTTGTTGAGCAATTGATTCAAGTGTGATTGCAATAATGTTGCTGAATGGGGGAACCTCTCTGATGATGAGATGGTCCAGCGAGTAGGGTTATAAGGAGATCTTTACGAAATATCCTGTGAAATATTTTGGCGTAACAAATCTATGTGCATTTGGCTAAACCAAGGGGATAAAACATGAAGTTCTTTCCTAAAATAGCAAATGCACACCGTCGATATAATCACATCGATAGTGGTCAACTCAACACAAGAGAAGTAAATTAGAAAATTCCTATAGGATGGAGCCGTTAGAGATAAAGATTGTGATCGTGTTATTGGAGCGGGATTTCAATTAGGATGGAGGAAAATGATATCAGTTCTGATAGATCCCGTATATTAAATAAGAAGACATAATAAATCTTGATATATTTGATTTCCTTAAATAAAGTTAAAATTTTGGACTTCACGAGGCAAGTCAAATGACTTCATCATTGTTGACCTCAAGCTTTTATGTGTTAGTATATGATATTTTAGAGTTTTTTACATTGTCAGTTACTTATTAAATAATATTTATATAAAAAACATTACTTTTGCTTTATTCCAAAAAGAGCACATTCATTTACAATTACAGCATATTTTGAAGGTCATGTACGTTTAGTGGTCTTCAAATTTTAAAATATAATCCACAATTTAAGGAATTAATTTTGATCCATATTAATTTATCCATATTTATCTCTCATCACTAATCTAAACTTACTTTTTTTTTTTTGTTTCCCATCCGGTGTCCGGTACCCACATTGAGGCCTGACTAAATCCGGATTCGCGCCGGGAAGTCCCACATTGGGGGGTAAAGCGCTCCCTAACAAAGGCGACTACATACCCAGGGGCTCGAACTCGAGACCTCTGGTTAAGGATGAAGGAGTATTTACCACTCCACCACAACCCTTGTTGGTCTAAACTTACCATTTTTCTATAAAAGTTCTCCCCTAACAGGTTCCTCTTAAAATTTCTATTTTCCATTATCATATCAAACACTGTCTAAATCAATCCACATTTTTATTCCGTGTTTGTAGATGTATATATACATATGTGATATATTTTTTACAAGGTAATTTTAAATATGTAGCGATGAATATATTATCTATATTTGACTATACCAGACACATTTTATAGTTATTCAACGTATATTTTTGTATATATGACGTATAAACAAATATACAGATTCGATATATGTATTATATATATATTTAATGTATAAATTGCATATACTTGATGTGATCTATATAAAGTTTAAATATATTTGATAAATGAAATATATACTTTGTATATGTGATATATTGTTTCTATTTGATGTATATTATATACACACAGTAATAAGATATATATGTTTATAAATATATTATTAGGATATTGAAGCAAATACATGTATTATGAAAACAACTTTAAGTTTACAGATCCTCAAAATAATTATAATGTTTCGTTGAATCTAATTATATTTTTCTTACTATATACGAAAATTAACAACTAGAAAATTAAAGTGCTAATTTTTTTTTGGAGGATTCTTGCATGTTTTTTGGTTGTGACATTAATGTAGAAAAGAAATGTGTATGGAAGGTAATTATTGGGTTGTATAATCTGATCAAATATTTTGGTAGGAATAAATACTAATAGGACTAATTTTCGGTAAATAATAGGCCTGATTTTCGGTCAAACAAAGAATCCTTTTTTTGATTGGAACTGTTCACAAATGTCGAAACGTGATTTTTGGTCCAGCGTTATAGGTTTGGGTTAGGATTGTAATTAATTAACTGCCAAATTTGTTAATTACTAATTCTGCTAGGATTCTGAAATTATTTCTTAAATATTGCCTAATTATGTTTTTTCTGCGATATTTTACTCTTTAAGATTGTCCACTTTTAAAGCTCCTTGAACTGCAAATAGGGATGTGATTTTATTTGGGAATATCTGCTGTTCATTATGGTATGCCTTTTTAACCTTGATGAGACTCTATCTGCTTTTATGCTATCTTACTGTAGCCAGATTGTAAGATTACCATGCATTTCTTAAAAGAGTTAATGTTATGGTTGATCAGGTTTAACAGCTAGCACTATCAGTTACCCATTGGAGGTGGCAAGAAAGCGGCTAATGGTGGGTGCTTTGCATGGTAAATGTCCACCTCACATGGTCGCAGCACTTTCAGAAGTCGTTAGGGATGGGGGTTTGTTAGGCCTTTATAGAGGCTGGGGTGCGAGTTGCCTAAAAGTAATGCCATCATCAGGCATTACTTGGATGTTCTACGAAGCTTGGAAAGATATATTGCTTGCTGATAGACGTCATGTGTTACAGTAGTAGCACAAGAAATGAAATCGTATTTCCACCGTCCCATGCGTACAATGATTTGACTACCGTAACGTACTCAAGCTGGAAGCTGGCGATGGTAAGATGGGTTAACCGTGGTGTCTGTCATGCATCCAGAATTTTTCTTTCCCATCTTCCTGAAATTTCTTTAACATTACTGTAAACGACAGAACATGCATTTATGATTACTGCAAGAATTACAAGCTTTTGCCTTTGTAATTTCTTCGAGTACTTGTTTCTCAAGGGTCAGTGTTGTGGTACTACTTGGTTTGAGAAGCAAGGGCAGTCAAGTTTGGAGAAGCAAATGGGCCAAATTGTTTTATTTTCCTACATGTTGATCTGGGGACAACGGGGGCTTCTGATTTTGGTGTACTCGGTTGATGCTCTGTAGTGTCATGTTTTTCTATTTTTCTTTATGTTTATTTGGTTGATGCTCTATACGGCACGCATAAGTTGTGTAATGGTGCAGAGTACTTAGTAGCAACTAATAAATTAATGAGACTGGAACATCACATTACGATGCTTTTCTTCTTGAAAGGAACTCTTTACGAGTGAGTGTATAAACTACAAAGTACTTCCTTTCCATTTTTGACCGTCTTACAAAAATGCTAGCTTTCTTACAAAAGAGCATTTAAAAATATTTAATACGCCTAGTGATTTTATTGGACATTAGGCTAGCCTTCTTTTATAAAACTCTGTTTTAAGTTGCAAAGTTTACAAAGGATCTCACCAGCCTTCTCAACAATAAGATATCTTTCTCATTCTTTAATCCTTTGAAAAATTAAACTAAAACATTTAATTTGAAATAGAAGAGCCATGGAAGATCGTGTCAAATATATAATGGGTCATGCTGAGATGGTGACCCAAGTTAACCGGGATTTGCTCCGTTTCCAGCTCTCATATATGCATATTTAACTGAGCGATCTGTAAAATATGTAAGATTGCTGTTTGTGATTGGCAACAATGCCCTGAATTGCTTTTGAGCATATTTTGTAGAAAGCCACATCCAAAGCAAGCAAACCTTTTCAACTAAATTTGGCATGCACAAAATATTTCTCCCAGAATACATGCTTGATTATTCAAGATATTTACATTCTTGGATACAGTTGGCAAATAAAACAACACACTATCTTCGTGCCTGGACAATCAATGAGCTTAAGCAGTAAGCACATGTGACCCCTACTAAAGGCTAGACAGGCACTCTCATACTGCTGCTCACTGGACAATCAACAGTCAGGCTGCTGGAAACAATTCTACCATCCACCAAACGAGTATAAATCTGACAATTGTGTTCAACAATCTAGGGTTCACATGTTCCAATATCTGCATGACAAATGGTAGAATGTGCAAACATGTATTCATAGATCAAAACACCAAAATTCTTCAAAACATGTCATAGATAATCAAACACAACAGCTGCATAAAATAATAACTTGCAGCCGTGCAAATATAGCACAGCACTTGAACTCTACAAACCTTCATCAGATAGCTGCTCAGAGAGCTGTTCAAATCGAGCCACTATGTGTTTTCCATAGGTGTATTTCTTCAAAGCATGAAGATGAACTCTGATTCGACTGAGCAGAATTTCGCGGTGCTTATCGTTGCTAATATCGAGAATCTTCTGGACCACATAATTCGCAAATTGGTCCTTCATCATCGACTACAACAAGAGCCAAAATTGCCCAGTGAATATGTCAATTACGCAAAAAATCATTTGTCATTATTTGGAAAATATAAGCACTTCACATTCACCATATAGAAAAGTGAGAAAAAGGATAATAGTGCCACACAAAATGCTAAACATACCGTTGAGACCACTTCCTACCCAAATTAGTCTAAAGGTCAATAAATCCATTACTATCTCAGCCAAGGAGATGATGAGATGGTGGACAAGCTAAGAGTTGTGACCATGAAATGCATCCCACAACATCACGACAGGTGGCCATGGCTAGTTTCGCATTGTTTCATAGCCAGACCATTACGATAACCAAGACTCGTATCCTTTCCTTTTGAAAACAAAAGTAAGTACAAACTTGCAACAATTGATGGATAAGATTCTCAACATATTGAGAAAAGGTCTTTTCCCTTCTCAACTAACAATTTATTCGAGTTATCCTGTTTCCATTCATTCCCTCTTCTTCTTTGGCTTTCTCCTTAATTTGGCTATTATACTTCTTCTTCCCCTTCTTAATCTACGACTTTTAAATGAAGTATAAAGGGTACTATAGGGTCCTAATTAAGATCTACTCAGTCAGTACACTAATTCATTGATAATAAGTAAATATACCCATCCTCTATTCTGCAGTGTCCCATCCAATAAAAGGTCAACACCGAATACTATTCTTCCAGTGACCCAAATCAAATATCTGAGACACACATTCGAATCTGTTATCAAAATGAACTTTCTCCTTTCACTGGCACTTACGCTTCTTTCCTAGGCAGAATCCTTTGAACAATTAAAGAAAAATGTCTACCATCCGAAAATAGATTTTCTGAAGGCGGCATCATTTTTTGTAGACCAACTTCAATATTTCCCATCACTGCAAACATCCTTTTCAATCAGGAATCAGCACAACATCTTTTACCCCTATTACGATGTGTTTGACTATTTCTCCTAAAAGGTTCTCGCAAAGTCTAAACTGGAAAAAGTTATTTTGAAGTGAAACAGAATGAGACAAAGATTGCAACCTGATGAGGCTAAAGAAAGAGCTAGGGTATAATTCCAACTCCAAATAGCAAATTGTTGATATACGAGTTCCATCTGAACATTTAAAAAAAATTCCATGTGATGGTAGAATTCTACATTTTACACCTCAACTGAAGCCCGGTTGAGAAAATAGTTAGCACAAATATGCAGGGAATGACCCAAAATTCAAGGTTAAAACATCTCAACTGAAGCCCGATTTAGAGAACAGTTAGCACTGCTAATAGGCAGGGAATGACCCATAAAATTTCTTTGGCAAATCACCATCAGTGAGTAATGAGAAGTTGGCTTAACTCAGTTTAGGCACATGGCCTTACTCGTCCTTTACAAAGAGGTTTCACGGAAATTGCTGTGAAAAAGTTGATTTCTGCATCGCATATGTGAAAAGGAAAAGCAAAGAATAGTAAACAAGATTCAAATCATCTCACCAGCAAATTGTCATTTGCTTCAGAATCTGCAAGAATCTCCTCAATCAAAAGCTCCCTCTCAGCAGAATCACCATATTCCAGACATTTTTCAACAACGTTTGAGGCATATTTGTGTTGACTTAATTGTACAACATTTCCGGTCAACTTTTCAATAATTCGACTTCTTTCGTGTGGTTTTCCCCTCTCCAGAACATGCTGCAACGACAAATTCAGTTTCACACAACAATTGCACAAAATTCTTATGATAATACTACATGCGCCCCACGGTCCATCCCTGTCCCAAAAACAAATTATTTCTAGCACATAGTTTAGAGTCATATTTTCCGGTCTTCCATTTTTTTTAGGGGGGGG